GCCCTAGTCGGTTTGGCTCAGTGGACAGAGTGTCAGCGCACGGACTGCAAAGTCCCAGGTTCAATTCCGTTGAAGGGCACATGCCCAGGTTGGGGGCTCAATCCCCAGTGGGGGGCATGCAGGAGGCAGCTGATCAATGATTCTCTGTCATCAATGATGTTTCTATCTCATTCTCCCTTCCTCTCTGAAATCAATAAAAGTATATTTTTAAAAAATGTTTCCAATGAAAAGCTCACATCATAATTGTGATGCACTCTAAGTATAAAAGGCATACCAGAGTCAAAGGCTTACTAATAGAAGTAAAATAAGTCATTAAAAATTTTGGTATCTTGCCCGGCCAATGTTGCTCAGTGGTTGAGTGTCAACCCATGAACCAGGAGATCATGGTTTCATTCCCGGTCAGGCCACATGCCCAGGTTGTGGGCTCGATCTCCAGTAGGGGGCTTGCAGGAGGCAGCCAACTGATGATTCTCTCATAGATGTTTCTAACTCTTTCTCCCTCTCCCTTCCTGTCTCTGAAATCAATAAAAACATATTTTTAAAAAATAAGTTTTACTTAAATAATAATTCATTTATTGTTTTAACATTATTATTAGTATGATAGTGGTTTGCAAACTTCTATAAAATGTGGGAATGATAATATTTTGGATATATTTGGGTGAAATAAAATGTATTCCTGAAATCGGTTTCATCATACTCCATTTTCATGGGGCTACCAGAAATATAAAATAACACAGCAGCCCACATTACATCTTTTTGTCTCTTCCTTCCTTCCTTTCCCCTTTCTTCCTTCCTTCCATCTTAACTTCCTTCCTTCCTTCCTCCCTTCCAACTTTTTTTAAAGGCACTATTATTATAAGGACTTTACATGTATTAACTCATAACAATCCTCTCAACAATGCTTTGAGTACATGCTATTAATATCATGTCCATTTTATGGAGGAGCACAGAGAGGTTGAGTAACTTTTTTTTTTTAATCCTCACCCGAGGATATTTTCCCATTGATTTTTAGAGAGAGTGGAAGAGAGAGAGAAAGACAGAGAGAAATATTGAAGTGAGAGAAACACATCAATCGTTTGTCTCCTGCATGCGCCCCAATGAGGGCCTGGGCTGGGGAGGCACCTGTAACTGAGGTGCATGCCCCTGACCAGAATCGAACCTGGGACCCTTCAGTCCACAGGCCAATGCTCTATCCACTGAGCAAATCGGCTAAGGCGAGGTTGAGTAACTTAATTAAGGCCACACAATGGCTCCAGCTGAGTCATACTGGAGTCCCAGGCACAAGGAAACTATGTTCTCCTGTGTAAATGCCCAGGTTTTGAGCTCCATCCCCAGTAGGGGGAGTGCAGGAGGTGGCCCATCAATGTTTTTCTCTCAGGGATGTCTCTCTCTCTCTCTCTCTCCCCCCACTTTCCACTCTCTCTCAAAATCAATAAAAACATATTTTTTTAAAATAAGAGAAATTGGCAGAAATTTTCAATTCCTTCAATTGAAAACGAGATAAGCAAAGGAGCAAAATTTTAAAATCTTGAAGTCAGGAAAGTAAAATGATAATAAAGTTTAATTTATTATATGTTATAACTAAACAAAATGAGAATACAATATAATAAATTCTGGCTGTGGTATAAATAAAATATTTACACTTAATTTTATGAGTTTTAATACACCTGCCTTTTAATGTTTTAATATTTTTTGACAAATTTAACCTTTAAATTATACATAGAACCTGCCCTGGCTCTGGTCTCTGTTTAAAATTGGGATATTTTGTTCACCATAGATTATTTTGTACTCACTTTTACTTTAAAAACTATTGCAGTGGGATATTACTTTTTGACACCCACTTATATTTTGCAGTAAAAGTCGGGGCCTTCCTTCCCACACCCCTCCCGGCCCTGCTGTAAACCATCCCCATTTAGCTAGAGCTCCTCGGGTCTCACTCCAGCTGTGGGTGACCGGGGACAGGTAACTTTTTTGTCACGCTTCACAATCTGACCACCGATGTTTCAATCCCCATTTCATCCTGCTTCCTCCTCTTTCTTAATCACTTTACCCACTATCATGTAGACAGCACCTCCTTAAAAGTTTTTGTGGTTGCAAATTATTCTGTACGATACTGCAATGGTGGACTCGTGTCATGAAACATTAGGCCAAACCCATAGAATGTACAACACCAAGAGTGAATTCCTACTGTCAGCTATGAACTTGGGGTCTTCACAATTGATTATAACAAATGCACCATTCTGGTGGGGGATGTTGACAGTGGGGACGGCTGTGCATGGGGTTGGGAGTGGCAGAGGGTATATAGGAAATCTCTGTATTTTTTGCTCAAATTTTTAAAATATAT